AACCAGTATTTTCGCCCCTTCCCAAAATTACTTCAACGGAAGGTTTCCAGATGGATATGCGGAGCAAATCCATCTGGCGGAGTCAGGTTATAGATGTTAGGAGCATGGATAGATGTTGTCATCTCTCAAAAAAAATGTACATAGAAACATTATCATCAGGATCTAATTAGATTCATTCAATTTATAGATCATAGATCAATAGTTTCTATCGTGGTTCTAGAGAATAAGAAGACATAATGATTAAAAGATTATCAGAGAGGAAACCTTTTATGTTGAATGGTTACTGGGCTAAAGTCATCTGTATAGATATCGGTCTCCGTTTTCATAAATACACATATGTGATTCATACATGCTCAGGACAAGCTCCCCAACACACAGCACGATTCACGCAAGCACAAAAAAATTCACACACACACACACAATACAAGATCCACACACACACAGCTCTGTGATTGGTTGCAAACTATCCCCTGTTTAAAAAAATGCATTTGTGTATGGAGGCACGTCAGGAGAGTTTCAAAAATCCACACACAAATACAGTGAAGTTTAAAGACCACTGGTACTTTGTAATTTCATTTATAATTTTTTTATGGACAAGAAATACTTTGGCGAATCATGTGCCGTGCATGTGTGAATCTTATATGGTTGCGTGAATCGTGTTGTGTTTGTGGAGCTTGTCCTGTGCATGTATGAATCACATATGCGTATATGTGAAAATTGAGACCGATTTAACTCCATATATTTGCAGTTAGAACAAAGTTTCAGTTTAAGTGCGACACCTCAGGCCGGATGAGGGCCAAAGCTTATCTTCCACTCCAGCAGAAGGCGGGGGGTAAAGTAGGGAAAAGCATCTCCATGGGAACCATTTATTTTAACGCTTTTGTTCACTTATATTTACCAGGGCTGATGCGACTATTTCAGGACAAAATGACTGATGATTTTGTTCTTCTTTTTTTCCACCAGCGTGATCAACCTCACTCTGCCGACACAGGAGGGAAACTTCATCACCAAGATGGCTCTCTACAAGAACTCCTCGTACCGCAACCCATACAGGGAGGGGGAGGTGGTTCTCAGCACCCGGGACATTCTGTTTGTGGGCGTCTTTGTGGAGGGAGCAGATGTAAACCAGCTCATACTCATTGTGAACATGTGCTGGGCCACGCCATCGCGATACAGCAGCGACAGACTCCGTTATATCATCATAGAGCGGGGGTAGGTCTTTTTAGTCCCAGATAACCACACATGCTCTCATGTGTGGTTATCTGGTTATCTTTAGACTTTAAAAACTTCTCTAAAGAATTTTTTGCCACAGAAAGATGGGAAAATTATGTCCAGATTAAAGATTTTACTACAGCATCTTAGTCAGATTTAAGACTTTATTTTTTTGTCTGATCAGTCTGCAAAAGTTTTTTTTTTTTTCAAAACTTTGGGCATCATCATTCCAAAACAATTTGGGGAAAAAATGTAAAGTTTGAAGATGTTTCGCTTCCAATACAGGAAGCTTTTTCAATTCAAAATGTGCAAATTGAACCACCTCTTAGGAACGGGGAGTCGTTTGGGTTCTTTGTTAGTCTGCAAAACCTGATACTGAGCTATGCCTCTGAAAGGGGGTCGTTGGGGTCAATTGTTGGCCTGGCTGACCAGGCGAGATGTTTTACTTTTGAGAAGGATTTTGGTTCTCACTCTGGTTCTATAGTGACCAAAAATTCTTTCCAGGCAGAACATTGTCAGTGCCTTTGGTTCTTATCTCTACTTGATCTTTAGATCAGGACATTGGGATTTTGAGATTTTTCAGCCAACTTTATGTTTTTTTCTCAGTCCCTGGTTTTCTGATTTCTTAATTCTGCAGGTCTGCCATCAATCTACTATAGTGTGGCTGAAAAAGTGAAGCAGCTTTTGTGAACAATCAGTTCTTTCATGACTTAAGGGGGGTAACATGTTTTGCAGATAGTTCCCTGTTAGTTTGCAAAGTCAGAAGCAAAAGATCCCTATAAGTGCCTGAGGAGTCCAACGGAAGTGCCCATGAATCAATTTACAGCTAATTAAAAAGGTCCTGCAAATATAAAATAAGACAAGCAAACACACAAACACTTGTAAAGGAGAAACGCTCAGGTCTGTAATCACAGAAAATAACGTGCAGCTAAGTGGACATAGGTTTCTCAAATGTTTTCCATTGTCCATCTTAAAATGAAGTAAAGATAATATAGAACTATTCTGAAAACCAATTTTTGGACTGTTTATTGCAACATAGTTCTATAACACATACCTTCCAGGTGCCCAAACACAAAGGACAACACCATCGGGATGGCAGAGAACGGCGTGTCCCTCACCTGTCGCTTCCACGTCACCGTCTTCAAGTTCATCGGAGACTATGATGAGGTCCACCTACACTGTGACGTTACGCTCTGTGACTCAGACACAAACGCCTGCAAAGTGGTGAGAACCTGAAGAAACTATTCACAGTAGAAGGGATGATGTTTTTTTTTAGCTTGAAGTTAAAATCTTTGTCCTGCTCCTTCAGAACTGTCCTCACAAGAGGAGAATGTACTCGGAAGACAGTGACCATAAGGAGCACATCCTGACAGTTGGACCCATCAGAAGAAGAGGTTTGAAAGCTCCTCTTAGAGCCATACTACGATAAATCAAACAAAACAGATTTTTTTATGCCACTAAAACAATCAGCGCTGCAGCATGTGGCTCATTACGATTCTTTTTGATCGTTATCCAGCAGAAGTGTAATGGTAAGCAGATATACTGGAAAAGTACAGTACAGTCCTTGGGGTTTGGAGCAACTCTGAGTTTAACCAGTTATAAACAGAGATGGCAAAAGTGCTCACTTTCCGTACTTGAGTAAAAGTACAGATACTTGTGTTAAAAAATACTCTGGTAAAAGTGGAATTACTTATTAAACTTCTTTACTCAAATAAAAGTAAGAAAGTACAGGCTTGTAAATTTACTTAAAGTATAAAAGTAAAAGTAGAAACCATTTTTTTCATGCCGTTGCCTACATTTTAAATGGATGTCTGCCAATAGGACTAGATCTCCGTTGTGTTCATTTTCAATCATCTCGTCGTCCATACTACTATGCTAACGCCACCGCCACCAAGCTGCAATGATTTGCCGCAAATGAATACCGCCGAATCTGTCGATTCATCTTGTAGTGGTGCGTCAAATGCAACGTAGATTCCCATCCAATTAGATTGAATTTGGTATTGATGACGTGAAAAATAATAACGGTAACTCCATTGAAATGATTCAAAACTAAAGTAACGAGCCAATTTTTAAAAATGTAAGGAGTAGAAAGTACAGATATTTGTGTAAAAATGTAAAGAGTAGAAGTAAAAAGTCGCCATAAAAATAACCATCTCTGGTTATAAAGCAGAAAAAATGTAGAATGTTATGTGCAGCGCATGCAGAAAGCTGCAGACAAATTTTCTAATTTCGCTGGCAGAGAAAAAAAGGAGGAGAGTCCTGATACCATTCGATCAGCCTGTGGATCTCTTAAAGGTATAGTGGAGGATTTTCCCGAATTTTTTAAAAGACCCGCCCTCTCCACTGCAAAAAAAAAAGAAAAAAATGCACATGCAAAACCCTGTACTCCCTCCTGAGAGGGACGGCCTTATGTAAACATATCACCAGAATGATTGACAATTAGGAGGACCACTTATTTTGATGATCCACCTGGAAGAAGAATATCCTGCACTATACCTTTAAATATCAAAGCTCAAAGGGGATCTTATTCTCAATGAGTGTCAACTATTCTAAATGTCCTAAATTACAAACTTCACCATTTCCATGTGGTTTTATTGGTTTTGCATTTATTTATGCACTGACTTTAAGCTAATTATTTTAAACTAATTATAAATAATCAAAACACAAAGAGATAAATAGCATCTCTTGATCAAAGTGTACTGATTATGTCCCAAATTGTTCTGGAAAAACTGATGTACTGAATTGGGACTTTACTGTACCTTTACACGCCTTCTACATGTAGAATGACAGAAATGAATGTACAAGAGGAAGAAATTCAATAAAGGTAACCCATAGTTTGGCTCCTGAGATAACTCTTTCAAAGGAAATAAAAAAAAAAGACAGAACTAAATGTGTAAGTGGAATCTAGGGAAAACAACACCAAAAAACACTCACAACAAATTAAAAAAAAATTCAACTTGACAATATCTGCGAGAAAAGCTGATAAGTAACTCTGAGTTATTTTTATCAGAAAGTTCATTACTAAAACGTTCTTTCTGCTTCTCCAGAATCAGACTGGTGTGAGGAAGACAACGGTGGCTGCGAGCAGATCTGCACCAGTAAGGCCACCGGTCCCATCTGCAGCTGTGTGACGGGGATGCTGCAACCTGATGGGAAAAGCTGCCGCAGTAAGAATCAGCACATGACATATGTTTTTATACAGTGAAAAAACCCTGCAATCTTTATAAAAAAATATTTTAATCAAAATGTTTTAAAATCTTAATTTTTTTCCTAAAATATCAACCAGCAGCCGTCACTAGAGATTTATTTAGATTTCTTTTTTTCCATCAGACTAGTTTTTTTAGTTTAATGCTTCATAAATACATTTATATCTCATACTCAAAACAATTACACCATTACTGTGATTTTTGGGAACTTTAGCTGTTTTTTCTATTTATTTCTATCTCTTATTCTCTCATGTATTTTCATGATTGAATCTTTTTTTTACTCATACAGTCTTCGGCTCAGATATGAGATTTGTCGGTTTAAAGGGGTCATTAAAGAATGATTCTATAGGGTATTTGGTCCTTCAGGTCTCTGAATAGGGTGTGTAACATTGGTTGGGCTGAAAATGGCATATTTGCTGTTCTATGAGCCCTAATGCAAGCCTGGTTAAAAGGCCTAGAATGAAACGACAGGTTTTCTTCCTTTTATGGTATGCTTATAAATATTTAGATGAGCTGTGCTCTGATTGGTTGGTTTACAACGAGTGAAGCTGCTGAGCAAAGACGCATCATCGCAACAAGAACTCACTCACTGAAAATTGTTGATATGGTAGGGTGACCAGGCGTCCTCTTTTTTACCCGGACATGTCCTACTTTTCATACCAAAAAATGTCCGGGGGGAATTTTAAAATCGTGCGGGTGCAGCGCGTAGTCGAAACACCCTCAACTCCGTGGCTGGTCCAGGAACCCCGGCATTCAGGGGCAGGGAGCCAGCGGTGGCCGGAGTGACCGAACCCGACCCGGTGATGGTAGCCTGGACACCGACGGCCCTGTGATTCCCCCCGCCTGCCTTACCGGCCCCCTGCCCCCCTCCTCCAGCTGAGGATGGGCGGCTCATGGCTCTCTGCTGAGTAGGGTTGGGAATTGAAAAGATTTTCACGATTCCGATTCCCTTTTCCATTCTATGAAACGATTCGACTCTTTATCGATTCTTTTTTCGATTCCAATTTGGGGGAAAAAGGAGAACAAACAGTTTAATTATCAGCATCAACTTTGTTTACTTAACTATTGCACAATCTTACAAACTCAACAAGATCAAGATGTCCACAGGAAATGTGAAACTGGAGTAACATCTGTGTTTAAATGAAAAATGAATACAAGAACAAACTTAATAACCAACAATGTCTAATAACAAATGATGGGATAATCACCTATTTTAAATAACAAAAAATACTAATTATAAAACAGTAGTAGGGAAAATTAACAGTTCTTTTGCAGAAAGATGAGCATATCTACTTTTTCTGGAAGGATACGGGATCTTTCAGGGCTTAAGGTGTCTCCAGCCGTGGAGAACACCCTCTCAGATGGGGTGGAGGAAGCCTGCACACAGAGGTAGTTTTCAGCCAGTCCAGATAGCAAGGGCAGCGTATCTTGCTTGTTCCACCACCACAGTGTGGCGCTATCCCTGCAGGGGATGGAGGGCAAGCTTTTATAGAGCTGGATTTCCTGATCTACCCTCTGGGATAAGGAAAGACGGGGCTTTGATTCACAAAGTGACCGCAGCTCGTTGTCTTCCTCCTCGAATATTTCTTCCAACTTGCGTAACTTGCGTAACTTGCGTAAAAAACGTGACGTAAGTCGTGCTCCCCAGAGCCGGCGCATTAGGCTCTGGTGCTGCGGGAATCGAAAATGCGTAACTTGCGTAAAAAACGTGACGTAAGTCGTGCTCCCCAGAGTCGGCGCATTAGGCTCTGGTGCTGCGGGAATCGAAAAAAAGAATCGTTCAGCGAGCTGCCAAACGATGCCATGGAATCGGAAAATACGGAACCGGTTCTGAACAGGAACCGGTTTTCGATTCCCATCCCTACTGCTGAGGTCCGCTCCAATCAGCGGCCCAGCGGTGGACACTTCATACCCCCCCCCAACCTCCCGCCCTCCCTTTGGCCAGTGAACCAGTGGGCTCGTATGAATGTCAATTTCGGGGCGTGACAAAAGTACAGACCAGAACCAAATAAGGCAACTTCCCCAATTGACGTCAAGTCGGTGCTTCATTTGGATTCGCCCGTTTTATGGTGGAAGTTTAAAATTGTGACTTCTGCGTACATTCATTTCACCCACTGAACTATCGTTATTCATCTATGACAATGTAAACTCGGTTTTGCATTCAATGACCCCTTTAAATGACTGAGATCGGCTCTTTCTAGAGCTCCAGTTTAACTCTGTTAAATGAAACCATTGTCTGTCGCAGGTAATCACACACTACTGATGACCCACTTGAACATCTGAAATGTTCCTTTAAAGAAATCCTTCACAGATATCAGTGTTTTTTGGGGACAGGTTGTTGTCAGCGTTGTAATCAACACCTGCGAGTCGGTGCGCAGGGCGCTGAGTTCCCACCAGCAGGTTCGCAGCAGCTGCCGTGTGAAATCTTTCCCTGCAAAGCAAATCAAGATGATCCATATTTTTTTTCTTGGGATTAAATAAAGACTCAATGATCAGTTCTATAAACATAGTTAAAAGTTTTTTTATTAATCTAATACAGCAAAGGAGGCACAAAAACAGGTTAACAACATATAGGATTGTCTAGGTCCATTCATTATCATGACCCTTTGAGGCAATCGATAGGATTTCTGATGGAATTATTAATAAAACAAACAGCTTTATCCTAAATAATTACATTATTATCAAAGAGTTGCGTAATTACGGCAGGGAGCTACTAATCTCCTTCAGATGGGTTTACTAGGCTTCAAACAGCTGTTGCTAAAGAAGCTGGTTAATGGAAAGTTTTGTGGACGGAAAAGGTCAAAAAGCAACAGGGAAAACTGCAGCCTTGAGAGAAATGTGAAGCAAAGAGCTTGATGGAGCTTCTCAAGGTTTGGACGGCAGCTTGATCAAAGGCCTTTTGAGTCACCAAACATGAACACATCCAGACGCAGCTCTGGTGCTGATCCACTCCTGAATCAAAGCCAATATTAGAAATGTTTCTGTGGCACTTGAAGCACAGACTCAGTCCACTAATCCTTCTTTATTAAATCTTGCTCAGATTTTTTTTCTCTATTGATATTTTTTTGATTCAGTACTTTTAGCGACCTACTTTAGACAGTTTCGGCGCTCCCTCCTTGCAGTGGCGCCACCAGGGGGTGGCCACAGCCACCCTGTGCAATGCCCTGGTCACCCCAATGAAAAGGTGTTTACTTAAGTTATTATGATTTTTACAGGCAGGTTTACCACAATAGTAGAATCAAACCATGAAATTATGGCTTTTAGTTTCAGTGTGCCACCCCAAGATTTTTAGTGGCCCCATCTGGCCGCCCCCCATTGAAACATTTCTGGAGGCCACCACTTCCTCCTTGAGTTTGCTAGTATCCGTCTGCATTATAAATGTTTAGTACTTTAGCTCTTATTAACTAAGTTAACAGCAGTGTACACTAAAAATCCCTTTGTTTGATCAAACCAACTTATGGGTTTTGAATTGAGTTACTAAAATCAATAAACTTTCCAATGCTTTTCTAATTTGTTGAGCTACAACTTGAACTATTTCACAGCATTATTAAAGGAAGAGTACACCCAAAACATGATTAGCCTTCATTTTCTACTCACCCCCATGCTGAACAACACTCTGGAGTACTTTTTTGATATCTCAAATGCATCTGGAGATCTGGGAGGCTTCTTGCTGTCTACTGACATTCAAATAATGGAGGTCTATGGCGCCCGAGGCAGAAAGGTCCATAAAAGTCCACAAAAAACGTGTCAATATTCCTCCATACTGCTCTTCCAATGTATTCCAAGTGTCCTGAGTGGGTAGCATCCAGAATTTACTCGAAACGAAGTCATTTAGAATGTTTTTAGAGCATAAACAGTAGTGTATAGGATTTCCTGAAAGTGCGCGCCCGCACGTTCACGACGCTACGGAAGCCGGCAGACCAAACCAGATGAAAGTGCGCATTCAGCTCGGCAAAGAACTCATGCTCTTCCTCAACACTGAAGTCCTCGGACATTTTTCTTTCATTGTTTCTTTCTTTGCACAGGTAAACAATGCAAGCGTAGAAGAAGAAATGTGCTGTTTACCTGTGCATAGAAAGAAACAACGAAAGAAAAATATCCGAGGACTTCAGTGTTGAGGAAGAGCATGAGTTCTTTGCCGAGCTGAATGCGCAATTTCATCTGGTTTGGTCTGCCGCGGTTTCCGTAGCGTCGTGAACTTGCAGGCGCGGGCTTTTAGGAAATCCTATACACTACTGTTTATGCTCTAAAAACATTCTAAATGACTTCGTTTCGAGTAAATTCTGGATGCTACCCACTCAGGACACTTGGAATACATTGGACGAGCAGTATGGAGGAATATTGACACGTTTTTTGTGGACTTTTATGGACCTTTCTGCCTCGGGCGCCATAGACCTCCATTATTTGAATGTCAGCAGACAGCAAGAAGCCTCCCAGATCTCCAGATGCATTTGAGATATCAAAAAAGTACTCCAGAGTGTTGTTCAGCATGGGGGTGAGTAGAAAATCAAGGCTAATCATGTTTTGGGTGTACTATTCCTTTAAGATGTTGAGCTGACTTTCTTTGTTGAATACTTTTCTCCGCTTGCAGGAAATGTTTGGAAGCTTTTTGTTTAAAATTCATGTATATTAGGAACTATATGAACGTTTGACCAATTCTGTTGCATTTTTCCTCTCTTGCAGTTCTGAGCTCTTCCTGTAAAGTCACCCCTGCTCTTCCTCTGCTGAGCTCCAGCGCCCTAATCTCCATCATCCTGACCCACTTTAACTGCCTTATCTTTTCCTAACGCCTAAATAAAGCAACCAAATACACATCAACACAGAAAAGACTTGAAGAATAGACCGAAATTTTAAAATCTGCGAATATTTGAAAGTTGTTGTGAATTTAGTTTGTGAACATCTCTGTAGAAAACTGCTAAGCGTTAATTTCAGTCTTCCTGTTATTTAGATTCATCAGGATCTGTAATTTAAAACTACTGTGTAGAGTTTTTTTTTTTTTTTTTTTTTTACATATTTTTATAAAGTTTTCAAAATGTTCCCATTGTTTTCATTTTTGTTGAAAATGTCGTGTTAACAATCACCACTAGATGGCGCCAAAGAAAAAAGTTCCAATTTGAAGAAATGAGGGAAAGTTAGGGAAAGATTACAACATATAGATAGGCAGAACAGAAAGATTAATATCACATAAGAGTTTTTTTTTGTTTGTTTGTTTGTTTTTGTTGTTGTGGATAACCTCCAGTAAGCATTGCTTTTTGCCAGATCTAAGATAAATGTTTATGAAGTTGAGTCAAAAAAGATTCATTGAAAATTCATCATAGTCAATTTTTCAGCTGATAATTTCTTTATTTTCTTCCTATTAAACCAGCTAATTTGCAGTAATTTTAAAGCATTTTATTATTCTGCTAAATAAAAATACATCCTCCACCCTTTCATTCATTAAATTCTATTCCCCTTAGTTTTAAAAAAGCATAAGTATTTCATTTAGGTTAATTAAGAAACACATTTGTATGAAAAGAAGTGTAAGAGCACGTTGCTGGTTTTCAAGTGGGTTTAAGTTAAACAAAAAGTTAAACAAAGTGTTTCTCCATCCTGTTTTAAAATCCTAAAGATCACTTTGTGCTGCATCAAATGTAGAAGCAATCTGTTTTTGGAGTGTTGGAGCTGTTCAATGCAGTAAGTAGCCAGTTCCTGCTCCTTTGGCTCTTCTCGTATTGTGTTTTATTCAGTCTCAGATGTTGCTCTGAATACCCTTCAACTCCAGGCTGAAAATTAAACATGCACACACAGTTTCCAAGTGATTTTACTGTTTTTTTGTTTGTTTTTTTACAATAGGAATGAACACAAAAGCTAGCAAAGAAACTCAATATTATTATGTATTTACGGCAGCCTCTGTAGCTTTGGATGCATTAGTCTAGGTCAGTGTTTTTCCAAGAAGAAGGCTGCAGAAAATTGGAGCAGAAATAAAAACAATAGCAAAAATAAAAACGTGTTATTTTTCCCACAATTCCCATAAATACAATAAAATGATTTTAAAATCCGTATTATTAATGGTAATTGAAATACTAGCTCAGAAGATTTCAATTTCAACTTTGAAGTTTGCATGAAAGGAATATCCCACCTCGGCTTACAGGACAGAGCATTCATTCTCCCTTTTGCAGCAGCATATTTGTGCACGTTAAACTATTGAACTTTGCAAACAAAACTTGGCGTAAAGCACTGACAGGTATTTAAGAGGAGCTTTCCACACACACACTTGAAAGAGGGTTGATTTCTTTTGCTCTGTTCTTCACAGCAAAAGCAAACAACAGCTTGTTGAGGTTCAACAAAAATATAATAATGTTAAAAACATTCTAGTTGACAAAATTATACTACCGGTAAACATTTTTTAAAGTTATTGAAAGGGGAATAAATGTAGTAAAACTGTAACTTTGCAAAGAGGGTCCAAATCCAATAGCAAATGCTGTTTAGGAGGCTACGGGGTGGAGAAGTTTTCGACCCCCTGGGGGTTAATCTTCCAAACAAAAGCCAGTGTTTTCAAAAAAGAAAAACAAAAAACACAAGTTGCATCATTTTAAGTAAAAAAGGAATTTGCAGTAACTGCTGACAAATAGGCTCATTGTGGAGGTGTTGCATTTCTAAGTGGAATATTTTAACTATAAGCCCCCTATGGTTGGCAAAAAAAAAGCTAAACTTACTGTGAAGAATTCAATCTAAATGAGGCTGTTTTTCAGAAAATTGAAATAACTAATATTACATCCACACATTAATTCACATTGTGTTTTTTTAAGTCCAAACCAAGCACAATCTAAAACTTTATTTACTTACTAAGACGCTCACAGACAGTCGCCCCCCACTCGCCTCGATGATTTAAAGCATTCCTCAAACTTTACAATCCAAGAAGACATTTCTATCCTTAGTCCAGCTAAAGAAAAGTCTTTCAAATGTTAATAATTTATAATAAGACAGCATATCATATTATTTAAATATCCTCTATGGAAAATGTGTTGCTATTTTTAAAAGCTCTCACACTGCAAAAACGATTTAGAAATAACAAAAAATGTCTTAAATTAAGTGTATTTACCATTAATTTGAGTAGGTAATTGAGATGGTTTGCCAATATAATGAGTATTTTTACTCTTAAAATAAGATAATTAGATAATATGCACTTTAAATAAGACAATGCAATTGAGTTTTCTTATTTTAAGTGTAAATTGTCTTGTTCCATTGGCAAAATATCTCTTTTACCTCCTCAATCCAAGAACAAATGCACTAATTTTAAGAAAAAATTACTTATCTAGATGTCTATTTTTTCCAGTGCAAGCTGCAGATTTCCAAACCTCTGTTGTTTGATGGATTATGAGGGAGGAAAGCAATGTGTGAAAGTATTTCATAATGTTTACATTATGATTGAATGCATGGTGAGCTACACAAATATTTAATAGGTGATACATTTGTGTGTGAAAAGCCACCTCAGATAATAACTTTAGCAAACATACAACAAAAACCCAGAGTATATTTTGGTTGTAGGGAATATATTTAGTTTTGCTTTTTGTGTACTTTTTGTCTCTGTCGACGCGATTGGTGTAGTTTTCCATGAAGGATTGTCATATGATACTGAGGCATTGAGGCGGAGGGAAAGTACTGCATTCCTCACTTCTCTCACAGTCGTTTTCTGTCTGTTTGTCTCCTCCTCACCTTACAAACCTCTGATCTCCCAGAGGAGGGATAAAATTTTAATTCAGCCTCATTGCAAATTCCTCAATGGCGAGGCTTTTTTTTTCCTTCTGTGTACAAGCATAAAGTCCTCTTCATTTTGTTAAAATATCTTCTTAATATTAAAAAATCCAGCAGGTGTTTTTCTTTTTCCTTTATTTGAGGGCAAAATCCTATTTCCTTTAAGTAAATGTTTCATCACCAGTGCATTTGTTCAATGAATGCAAGCATGCACTGGAGAAAATTGAAATCCAAATAAGTCATTTTTTCTAAATATAACTACATTTGTTCTTGAATTGAGGAGGTAAGTGAGAAACTTTGCCAATGGAATACGACAATTTACATTTAAATTAAGAAAAAGAACAATTGCATTGTCTTAGTTCAAGTGCATATCTTATTTTAAGAGTAAAAATAACCATTCCATTGACAAATCATCTTATTTACCTACTAAAATTAGGAGTAAATGCAGTTAATTTAAGAAAGACTGACTTATTTCTAGATAATTTTTGCAGTGTGACTGCACCGCCCTTATCACACCACCGTACACCAGCTGAGTAACCGCATGAGAAACAAATTGGGTCCACAATAATAAAAGGCAACATTTTTTTACTATATCCAACCCCCTGAAGTCACTTCAAACATGCAGAACAGGCCTAACATCTGCCTCGCTCCAGTGTTGTGGTTAATTTGTCTCCAGGTTACAGTTACTATGCAGTAAATCAATAAAAATGGAACGCTGTCAGACACTTCACACCTTCCTGAGAGAAATCAGGCTGAATCTGACAGACAGTGAATAATATGAGGAGTTTGAGTTTTCTAGTGTTTGTCAGTAACCAGCGACATCCGATAGGAGCTGGATGGTAATGAAGGTAATGATTAAAGAAACATTAGATGGCAAGATCAACTAAGAATCTTTCCCTCCTCCATGAAACTTAAGAGGAAGAAGAGAAGTGTTAAGAAGCAACTGAAGAGTACGGAAGAGGGTTAGGGCCACTGAAAAAATAAAAAAAGTTAACTGATTTTTAACTTTTATTTCAGTAAAATATGAGAAAAAAGTCAGAATTTTGACTTTAATCTCAGAATTCTGAATTTTTTTTTTTTTCACAATTCTGACTTTAATCTCAGAATTCTGATTTTTTTTTCACAGAATTCATTTGGGTCCTCAACTAATACTTACAACTTTGTACTCTTTACATTTTTAAAATGGACTTGCTAGTTTTGTTTCATTTAAGCTCATTTTCATTATGGCTGGTTGGAATAAAAAAAAAAAAATAAATAAATAAAAAGCATCAAAATAATTTGTTCCAGACTAGTTCGTATGAAATCGTACGAAAAGTTATGCACCGTAATTTTGTACATTTTAGACGTTTTTTTCGTCGCATTTCATCGTATTTTTACATCTTGCCTCGAGACAAGATATCTTTGCGCATGTGCATCGTACGCACCATTAAATAACATCAAATTTAACATACAATTAACCCTAACCCTAAGATACAAAACAGCAAGCAACGTAGTTAGAGACCTGAAGAAGTGATTATTGCACTGTTTTTCCCAGTTTTACGTCCGTCCGCGGATCTCCTTTTTTCGTCTGTCTGGCTGCGCAGGCGCACTGATCTGTATTTTCGAGGAAAAACGTACGAAATACTGTGCATAACTTTTCGTACGATTTCATACGAACTAATAATGAGAATATGTTGTTTATTTCCTTTGTGGTTGGACTCGATACTGCACCAACTTGTTGTTCTCCATATACCGACATAAATAGTTTTTCAAGCAAAGTTAAATCTGACACTGTTACATTTGGTTATAAAACTAAGAAAATTAACTATAAGGAAGTTATCATCCACCATTGTATGAAAAAGGTTCCTTTAATAGGGTAGTGCAGTAACCAGTATAAGGTTTACAGCATCTGTCCTTAACATTTTTCCCTGCATTACTTGTATATTTTAAGTCGTTTTGAAAATGTTGCTTTTACATTAAAGCTTAAGTTGAAACAATAGGATTTATACTTCTACTTGAGAAATAAACATGAATACTTTTGAAACCTTTGGAGATATATGCTTCAAAGAACATGCATGCAAGACCCTTTTTTCAACCACTATGATTTTTATTTTTCACTATTAGTTTTATTAGACCAGGATCATTTAAAAAGGGGTCTGATTCATAGAATACCTCGCATGCTTTAGTTTAACGAAACATGAACCCATAAACAGACATTTGTTGAGAACCAAAACAAGATAGAAGACATTTAAAGCTGTTGTGGGTTAAAACACATACATGGACATACAGTCTTCTCTGCTGTTTAATGGCTTTTTACAGATTAGCTCAGCAGGAAAGTTTAATTGTTCTGCAAGAATAACAGAAACTTCCAGCGAAAGTTGAGCTTGTTCTCCAAAAATGTTGCAGTTGTTTTTGTCTTGGGAAATCCTCTCTGAGGATGATCTACTTACCTTTAGGCTCCACTAAAAGTTTTCCACTCCATTTTCAGGGATTCAACAGAACACAAGCAGTCTGATGTGAGAGTCAAATTCTGGAATAAGCTTCACCTCAGGGGGATCATGTTACGTATCAGTGATATTATT